CCTTATGTCCCCTGACGCCGTTCTCCTTTGTACAGTTTAATCAAATCACACAACACAATAAATATTATATTTGTCAGAATGATGAATTATATTTGTTCATAGTCAGCCAGCTTTCAGGACGTTTTATCCGAAGCAGAGATTCTAGCGCTGATGGTTGGCTGTCTCTGTCACGATCTGGACCATCGGGGAACCAACAATGCCTTTCAAGCCAAGTAAGGCTCAGACAGTGTACAAGGACACTTTTTAGTGATTTATGACAGTTTTGTTGTTACTACCGTGTCTGCAGGACAGGTTCTGCTTTGGCATTGCTCTACGGCACGTCAGCGACCCTGGAGCATCATCACTTCAATCATGCAGTCATGATCCTGCAAAGTGAGGTGAGGTCCACATCGCCGATAGGATTATTTATTGATTTTATATTGTCAAATGGTTGCGAGAAATAAAACTGTCTGATTTTACTGTGTGCGACCACCCGGCGAAATAAAATGGAGTAAATTCAACACACATTAATGTGCAGTGGCACAGCGGTTGAAAATCACCGCCTAATGGGACATACATTTCTGTTTGTGACCATGTCTTACTCAGCGCACGGCAACACCCGAGGTCAGCCCGAAATTGATTCGGGAGATTTTCAGTCGAGACAGAGTCTCCCGTGGTAGCGACCACCTAAAGATTTTTGAGTCTCTGGATGGATTTTGAGAGCAGCATTATCGATAGATTTATTTTAACAGAGAGCGCGAAATGTCACTGGGTGTGGCTAACTTACATTGCTAATGGGGACTTCATTAGACTGTGAGTGATGAGTATGCCAATACGTTTGCTTTAAGGGAACATTTCAGACCCGATTGCTCATCCTTGCCTGCAAAACTGTAAGGGGATTTATTTCATATTTATGTTTCAGGGTCACAATATCTTTGCGAACCTCTGTTCTAAGGAATATAGCAACATGATGCAACTATTGAAGCAGGCCATTCTCTCCACGGACCTCACTTTGCACTTTGAGTAAGTCATCTTTTTATTGCATTCAGAGAAAAAAATGAAGAAATGAAGAACTATCTACCTGTATTCTTCTACTGCAAAACATGTTTTCGTGAAAAATCTTGCCGCATTGGATAGAGGCTTTTTTTTCCCCCCGCTCTTGCGTCCTTGACTGTCTTTGCTTGGAAAGGCGGCGGAGCAAGTTCTTTGAGAGCGTGCTCGCTGAAGAATTCAGCTGGACGGAAGAGAAACACAGAGAAGTCCTCAGGTGTTTTGTACAAAATAAAACACGGAGAATGTAGAAATCAATGACTTTTTGTTACTGAGTTTTTTTT